CCCTCTCTCTCTCTCTCTCCCCGAAAGGCCACAACACCTCGCACAAGTGGGGGTGTATGGACATGCGCACTCTGGCCGGCCACTCATGTGGCTGGGCGGTAATTAGTCCCACAGGTTGGAGGCAACCCCTGCTTTTAAGGCTAACCTGCATTTTGGGATTTTGTTCTTGGCACAGAAATCGGCCAAGGTGACATTCCGTCCTTCTACACCTACGAAGAAGGCCTGTCACATTTAACAACGGAGGGTCAGGCCACCTTGGAGAGGCTGGAGGGCATGCTGGCCCAGTCCATAAGCACTCAGTACCACATGGCTGGGGTCCGAACAGAAGAGACTCTGAGGGACTTCGAAGGTAGGAGTTTATCTTGCCGTTTTATTTGAGCGATCTTGGAAAAAGTGCAGCGAAGAGCAACCAAGATGATTAGGGGACTGGAGGCTAAAACCTACGATGAACGGTTGCAGGAACTGGGCCTGGCTAGTCTAGGGAAGAGAAAGACCAGGGGAGACAGGAGAGCAGCCTTCCAATATTTGAGGGGCTGCCCCAGAGAAGAGGGGGTCAAGCTATTCTCCAAAGTACCTGAAGGCCAGACAAGGAATAATGGATGGAAACTGATCAAGGAGAGAGATTCAACCTAGAAATAAGGAGAAACTTTCTGACAGTGAGAACAATCAACCCATGGAACAGAAGTTGCCTTCAGAAGTTGTGGGAGCTTCATCCCTTGAGACTTTCAAGAAGAGATTGAACTCCCAAGTGTCAGAAATGGTGTAGGATCTCCTGCTTGGGCAGGGGGTTGGGCTAGATGACCTAGAAGGTCCCTTCCAACTCTGATTATTTGTTACAATTCTTATCAGAATGTTTTAAGGGCCGTCTCCCTCACAAGCGAGCCCACCCTTTCTGTCGTTAAGGATGACATTTGTGAAGCGAGTTTGGGCTCATTTTACGACCTTTCGTGACACAGTCGTTGAAGGAGTCGCTGCCCAACGGTCGTAAGTCAAGGATGACCTGTAGTACTATCTCCATTCGGTTGCTGTTTTTTGCTTTCAGATGGCATGGAAGTCGACGCGGCCCCAGTAGTTACGGGACAGTTCGAAGATGCTGATGTTGAACATTAAAGCAAGGTAGGAACGATGGCCAGGTTGACCTTCCTAATTCTCTCCCGCTGAGCCTCCAGGTTCGTTTCCTTGCTTTAGCCCCGACCAATATAATCCAGTTTGTTAAAAGTCCGAGCCCTCTGCTCTTCGGTTGTTAAGTGAATCCTTGGATTGTTAAGTGAATCCATAGATTCTTAAGTGAATCTTTGGGTTGTTAAGTGAATCCATAGATTCTTAAGTGAATCTTTGCATTGTTAAGTGAATTCTTGGATGTTAAGTGAATCCATGGATTGTTAAGTGAATCCTTAGATTGTTAAGTGAATTCTTGGATTGTTAAGTGAATCCTTGGATTGTTAAGTGAATCCTTGGATTGTTAAGTGAATCCCTGGATTGTTAAGTGAATCCTTGGATTGTTAAGTGAATCTTTGGATTGTTAAGTGAATCCATGGATTGTTAAGTGAATCCTTGGATTGTTAAGCGAATCCTTGGATTGTTAAGTGAATCTGTGGATTCTTAAGTGAATCCTTAGATTGTTAAGTGAATTCTTGGATTGTTAAGTGAATCCTTGGATTGTTAAGTGAATCTTTGGATTGTTAAGTGAATCCTTGGATTGTTAAGTGAATCCTTAGATTGTTAAGTGAATTCTTGGATGTTAAGTGAATCCTTGGATTGTTAAGTGAATCTTTGGATTGTTAAGTGAATCCTTGGATTGTTAAGTGAATCCATGGATTATTAAGTGAATCCTTGGATTGTTAAGTGAATCCATGGATTGTTAGGTGAATCCTTGGATTGTTAAGTGAATCTTTGGATTCTTAAGTGAATCCGGCTTCCCTCCCCCACCCCTCCCCCAATTGATTTCGCTAATCAGAAGGTTGCAAAATGGCGACCGCATGAGCTCGGGACACTGAGACCTCCCTACACAACCGAGTGCCTGAATTTTTTTCACCTAACGGTGAAGTTTCCATGATGGTCATAAGTATTAAGTCACTTGTTAAGCCATTTTTTTTCCAGCGCCATTGTAACTTGGAAGAGTCGCTAAGCAAACGGTTGTAAGTTGAGGACTCCAAGTTCTCCACTGTTGACAATTTAGTAACATGGTTGTAAAGTGAATCCGTTGACTTTGCTGGTCAGAAGGTCACAAAAGGGGATCACGGGACCCCGGGACATGCGACCAGCATAAAAACGAACCAGTTGCCAAGCCTCTGGGTTTTGATCACATGACCACAGGGATGCTGTGGTGGTCATAAGTGTGAAAAACAATCATGAGTCGCTTTTTTCAGTGCCGCTGTAACTTTAAATGGTCACTAAGTGAACTGTTGTAAGTCGAGGACTAGCTGTACTCCAAAGGCGCGCAGAAAAACTTGCCTTCCCACGGGTGGTACCTATTTATCTACTTGCATTTGCAGGTTTTCTAAACTGCTAGGTTTTTACACTGCGAGCTTTTCAAAGTCTGTTTGAAAGGAAAATTAATGTAAAACTGTGCCTGGAGCTGGCTGGTGCTGGATTGGTATGTCACGTTGTAAGGCTGTGTTCTTTCTTTCTTTCTTTCTTTCTTTCTTTCTTTCTTTCTTTCTTTCTTTCTTTCTTTCTTTCTTTCTTTCTTTCTTTCTTTCTTTCTTTCTTTCTCTCTCTCTCTCTCTCTCTCTCTCTCTCTCTCTCTCTCTCTCTCTTCCTTCCTTCCTTTCCTTTCCTTTCTTCTTTCCTTCCTTTTTCTTTCCTTTCTTCCTTTCCTTCCCTCCCTCCCTCTCCTCCTCCTCCTCTTCTTCTTCTTCCTTCCCCACTCCTCCTCCTTCTCTTCCTCCTTTTCTTCCCCTCCCCCCCTCCTCCTCCTCTTCTTCTCTCTCTGTTTCTTTTTTTTTCTCAAACACAACTTCTTGTGTCTTTCAGATTCTCTTGGCGTCTTCAAAACAGGATTCCCCAAGATTGGCAAGGTTACAAGAATGAACACAGTTCCTCTATTTGACCCAAACGTGAAGATTGTAAATGGTTTTGTAGCCGTGCTTATAAAACATGAGTTGACTTTTTTTTTCCTACATAGAGATGCAACACACACACACACCCACACACACACACACACACACACACACAGAGGGGAAGTTACACCTTGGTTCTGATCGGGTAATTAATTATGGCTTGCAATTGAAGAGCCTTTATATGATATACCAGAGCAGGGATGTCCACGTTCAACAAGTTTTAAGGCTAGTGGACTTTGACTCCCAGAATTTAAGACTTTGAGACTTCAGCTCCCAGAATTTAAGATTCTTGAGGCTTCAACTCCAAGAATTTAAGACTTTGGGGCTTCAATTCCCAGAATTCCCCAAGCAGCCATGCTGGGGAATTCTGGGAGTTGAAGTCCCAAAGTCTTACATTCTGGGAGTTGAAGTCTCAAAATCTTACATTCTGGGAGTTGAAATCCACAAATCTTAAAAGTTGCCAAGGTTGGACACGCTTCTAGGTACTAAGAGAGTAAGGAATAAAATTGTAACTTAGAACAGAATTCTGGATGGTTCCAGGATCGTTCTCGTATGTTTTAATGCTTGTTTGTCTACAGCCAGGTTCATACAACAGGAATTATTATCTTAAGGTGGCTACAGCTAGGACAGAGATGCAAAGTCAAAGAAACTGTGGAAACCCTGCAACGAATTGACTCCGTCTCTCCAAGAATTTTGTACGAGGTTTCTAAGGGCCCGTTTTGGCACCGAGCAGACGGTTCTGCGCTCCAGATAAAATCTTTTTGTTATTTCTGCTATAAAGGAAAATGAAGTGGTTCAATAAAAAGATGATTTTTGTATCTTACAGCTTAGCTGCTGCTTATTTACTGGGAACTTAATTTTGTCACGTTTCTGCTCAGGCTAAAAGCTACTGGTGTTTTTATCTTGGGAAAGCTTTCTCAATCCCACGGTATAGGAAGTCCTCGACTTAGTCATGTCGTGATAGTCATAAAGTGGATCACCAGGTAAGTAGACCCGTTTTTTATGGCCTTGTTTTCATAAAGCAAACTCGGTGTCAGGATTCCGGCGGTCACCCCCATTTAAATCATGAGTCTGGAACCAAACTTCCAAAACTAATCAAGATTTATTGAGAGCTAACATGTCCGGCACGGCCTGGGTGTAACCGACACTGAGACACATAGTTCACTGTCACCCTTGACCCTGGTTTTCCCTTCACCCCCCTGGGTGTATTGTAATTCATGTTCTCCAATGGGACACATCCATAGACAAGAGTCATCGCCGTAAGTGCCGACTGGTTGTCGGAATGTGGTTGTGTGACTGTGGGGTGTGTGGCCTTCAAAACCGGGGCATAAGTACCTTGGGGTGGCTCTGTTGTAATTTTGGTCATTCAGCAACCGGTTGTAAACTGCGGACTACTGAATGTGCAGCTCAGGGTGTAGTTACCAACATGGTTGTTAAGTGAATGTGGCTTCCCAATTATTTGGCTTGTCAGAAAGTCGTAAAAAGGGATCGTGTGATCCGGGGACATTGCAACCGTCATAACTATTGAGTTGCTAAGCGCTTGAATTTTGATCACATGACCGCGGGACTGCTGCAAAGATAAACGATTTTAAAATCCCTTTTCTTTTTAGCGCCATTGTTCTCACTTCATAAACTCTTCGTTTCATGACCTTCAAACGGTCACTGAACGAGCAGTTGTAAGTCGAGGACTACCTGCAGTGCCATCCGATTATGCGAAATGCAGCAAATTTCCCTGATTATGGAACTATGAAAATGAGCGAATGTTGCGGGGTTTAAAGTCTAAGGAAGGAGAAAAAAAAAACATCTGAGAGTTGTAAAAGTAAACCATTCTTTATTAAGAAAATAATCCATTTTCTACTCTTTTTAAGACAATATTAACCCCCGGTGTAAGTTGTGGGTATTTTGTGCAGGCTTGGCTCATTTTTCAGGAAGGGACACGCTGCTTTCAAGTTTCACAGGGCAAGTGAAATGGAAGACGACTCTTCTAATCCAATTAGTGCAAAGATTAGAACTCAATATTCCTCCTGCTTTGCTACAGGGGTATTTCGATGCCTTGTTCCTGCAGAAGTTCTGCGAGATCAACAATTACAACATATCCAATGCATGTAATATAAACTATTACAGCGCAAATTTTGCCATTGCAAAGGAGAAGTTTACATTAGCAGAAATCCTTTAGCTGGAATTCAAGGACAGCTGATGGCAATTTGTGATCGCTTTCAATGTTTTTTAAATATAAACCATGCAAAAAATTAACCTCTGCCAGAAATTTTCCATCCACCAAAAATATTAAAGACACGTTCTTTTTTTAAAAACTGGTTATTTTCAGGCAACATCCTATCAACTCTCATTCACATTAGGCATTAATCCACAATACCCAAACGCCTTCAAAGTGCTTCCGACTTGAAATGGGTCAGAAATTTCAAGTTTTCCTGAAATGAACCCTTTCTTTCTAAATTATTAGCACCCTTGTTAGATTGGGGAAGGGGGAAACCTAACAGAATTAATTAACAGAACAAAATAGAAACTGTTTCATATTAACAGAACAAAATTGAAATTCTGGAAGGAATACAATCACTGCAGAACAGATGCTTCCAGAAAAATTATGGCACAGTCTTTTATTATTTCATGAACTACTGAGTTCCAGACTGTGCAAATGATTAGAGCAAACTCTTTTTACTGATACCTGAAATCTTGAAGCATTTGTGAAAACATACGATTGTCACAACCAGATCTTATTTCTCATTTTTGGGACGTTTGCCCTTTTAGCAGTAGAGATACTCAATATATATATATATATATATATTTCAGCCCTTACTTAATGATACAGCTTCTGGGTTTTGTGTTTTTCATATGCATAAGATATATGCATGAAACTGTGCTTTATCAACTATTGCTTATACAAATGTTGCTCATACTTTTTTTAAAAAAATAGTATTGAATAATTGGAGAAATATTTCCAGGGGGATTTGAGGCTGCCTCACCTTAGATGAACCACCTTATTTTCTGTCACTGCTTAGGAGGCAGAAATTTAAATGATTTGGATAACCCACAAAAGAATCCCAGAATAAGACACATTTAGGATGTAGCTTACTAAATCATTTTCAAGCCCAGTGTTTTTCAAACATAGCAGCTTTAGGATAGGTGGACTTCCAATTCCCAGAATCCAGGGTTGGTTGGAGAATTCTGGGAGTTGAAGGCCACGCATCCAAAACGATTGAGGTTGGAAAACAATGTTCTAAACACCGAGCAAAATGTTCCTCACGGTCTTGAATTATGACCATTTTAGCTGCCATCCTATTCCCCGGCTACATTTTTTTTTTTAACAAAAAAGAAATTTTTTTTTCGATGACACCTTTTGGGGTACATTTTTAAACTGAATTGTTTTCCCTTAAAACGCTAACTTCTGAAAAAGATGAACTGCGCATAAAACGAAGATAACATCCCTTGTAAAAGGCGCAGGCGTTCGGCTTTTCAAGTTTTCAAGGGTCTGAAAACATCGTGGTGAGTTTTCCCGGGTCCCTCAGCGTAGGACATTTGTAAAGCACGGTAAGTTACTAGACGTTAAAACTACATGCTCAAAATCAACCTCCGAAAGATGTTAAGAATACTTCAACGTCGGGCTTCGGGAAAATGAGAGAACATTGCATCCGTTTTCGTAATGCGATGCTGAAAACGTCTCCCTTCTCAGCCTTAAATATCTCTGTACAAGCCAGGAAGAACTTCATCCCAGATAACAGAGACGAACATAGATCCTGAAAGAGAAAAAGAAGGGTTTTTTTTTTTTTTTTTTTAGTAATTTGAAAAGGGAAGAAAAAAGCAGATTAAAATAGGAGTGGACGCTCCTTGGGTCGAACGGTTTTCAAAGAGTGTGAACTGTCTGTAAAGGTAGTTCTTGACTTACAACCATCCATTTAGCGACTGTTTGAACTTACAATGTCACTGAAAAAAAATGATTTCTGAGTTCAGATTTCTGAGACGTCTGACATGGTGCAGGGCAGAAGGTTGGACTAGAAGACCTCCAAGGTGCCCTCCAACTCAGTTATTCTATTCTTATTTCTTGTTCTATTCTTATTTTCTATTCTTTTCTTATTTCCTGTTCTGTTCTTATTTCTTGTTCTATTTTTATTTTCTATTCTTACTTCCTATTCTGTTCTTATTCTATTCATTCTGAATTCTATTCTATATTCTACTCTACTCTATATTCTATTCCTATTCTATTCTTATTTTCTATTCTGTTCTAATTTCCAATTCTATTCTATTCTGTTCTTATTTTTTATTCTATTCTATTCATTCTGAATTCTATTCTATATTCTACTCTACTCTATATTCTATTCCTATTGTATTCTTATTTTCTATTCTGTTCTAATTTCAAGTTCTATTCTATTCTGTTCTTATTTCTTATTCTATTCATTCTGAATTCTATTTTATATTCTACTCTACATTTTATTTATTCGTATTCTATTCTGATTTCTTATTCTATTCTTATTCTATTTTATTCTATTCTAATTCCTATTCTATTCTATATTCTAGACCATTTTTATATCCTTTATATCCTTCCTACAATTTAGGGATCCTTGTCTGTCCAAATATGAAAATATAAAACCCCCTCACCTGCACATGGCGCAATGCAATACACCACCAGGTAATTCCAAAACTGGTCTATGAAGCAGCTTCCGTGCAGAGAAAAAGCCAGAGCTGGATTAAAAACTGCACCAGTGAGATGTCCTCCTACAAGAGACCAGAAAATATTTCTCTTTTTAAGATCTCACACAACTTTTTAAAAGGCAATAATAAAGTTAGCCGCCTGCCCTAAGAACCATTTACAGCCCTCAATACATTCATATCAGAGAGAGAGAACTCCTAATTATAATTGAATTTTGAGTTGTGCCAAACAGACACTTATAGGAACAAAGATGTGTTAATCTAAATTTAATTTTGTTACCGTAAAAGGGGACCTGACCTGGGGCTCTCGAATTGCAGCCCTGGTCAAAAGGGCCCACCAGATACTACCTGTGGCTTCTCAGAATACAACAACTGAATGAAAAACTGCTGGTGACCTTCTACTGCTGCACCATAGAGACTATCTTAACTTACTGCACCTCTGTATGGTTTGCCAATTGCACAGGGGCAGATAGGAAAGCACTCCAGAGGGTTAACATCATTGCCCAGAGGATCATGGGTTGCCCTCTCCCCTCTTTGGAAGAGTTTTAAGAAAGTTCAAAACATTCTCCCGCTGCCTTAAGAAAGTTCAAAACATTCTCAGAGATGCATCTCATCCTGGGCACCCCCTGTTTTTTTTAAACTATTACCATCTGGCAAATGGTACAGGATAATAATAAAAGCCAGGACAAATAGGCTGAAAAACAGCTTCTGCCCCAGGGCAGCAGCTCTCTGGAATTCTACTGTATAGTGCAGTGTTGGTGGGTTGATCGGCCCAAAGTCACCCAGCCAACTTTCATGCCTAAGGTGGGACTAGAA